TTTACCTCCATGGTTTTTTTAGACCTCAACTCCTACCAGTACTAGCTATGGACGCAGAAATCTCTCAATTTCTGTTTCTTTGTGGGTGATGGTTTTTTTTTCAAGACTTCAAATTCTTTCAACCTTAATGTGAAGAAACGTGTGATCTCTTCAAAAATGAATTTGGCTGAACTTCTCTCCCATTTGAAATTGGTCAAATTGAGTAGGTAAGCTTATTCCCAGCATGTACCTTCCCGTCATACAGAAATAAATAAATATTTTCAAAATGTCACAAACCTGATTAAGCAACGAAAGAATTGTCGATTCGAAGTCCTGAGCCTGGATGGACGTAGCTACTTTCCGCAGAGCTGATTTAGAAATCAGTCAATCCATCTCATATAAAAACATTGGCAAAATTTGATTAGATTCTCAGAAATAAATGGCACAAACCCGAGAACAAAAAGTTCTAGCCCCAGTCAGCATGACCAAATACCTGACAACGATGTGTGCTGAAATTCGACAACACCTAGGGGGAAGAAAGTGTTCGCCTCAGTAGATTCTGAATGCATGAAAGGAACAACAGAACAAAGGATCACAGAAAGGGAACTGTAAGTAAAAGAGAGAACTCACAAGTGAGGAAAGAAGGCAATCAATTTTAACATGATGGGCTTGAGTACCTTGCACAGTGGCAGCCAAGCATGACAAAAGCAGATAATTAAGGCCACTGGAGAAAGGTCTGAGAAACCTTTGTAGTGGCTGTTAACGTTTACATAACATTTTAAAACCTTGATGGCAAACAGAGGGTCTTCTCTTAAAAGGAATGCCATTTTGTCCTTCACATCAGGCAGCAAAAACCTTTGGGCTGGCCCTGGATTTTCCTACTTTTTATAGCTGACAAATATGTCCTTACCTGTGTAGGAGAGGAGCTATAAATCCATAGAGTTAGAGAGAATCTTAGTATTTAGAAAATCCCAAGTTTAACTCCTTTTATCTTCTGTTGGAAGAAGGGAGCCAGAACCACCTCTATGTTAGTTCAAGGCAAGGCAGAGCAGTGGACATGACTGAAGGCAGCTTCTTCTCTTCAGAGATAACTAGCCCAAGGAATTGAAAAGCGGTATGTGTGTGTAATTGACTGGCAACCTTTTATCGAACAAAATTGGGAGTGCCCTTTAAATTCCATACCACCAGAGGTGAAATCTGAAATCTACTACCTCTGACACGAGCCTGCAGCCCCCATCTTGGATCTTGATTTAAACAAGGAAACCAGGCCTGCACATCTGGCCAAGAATCCTGGAACTTTTGTTTCTTCTGCACCATCTGCAATTCTGCAAAGCCCAACCTGATGAAGACTTGTGTAGAGTCAAAAGCTATCATGTTTGTGGTTTTTAAGTGGTCTAATAAAAGTATCACCCACTTTGTCCTCAAATAGTCCAAGGAATGTCTCAAACGATCAGGGAAACCAGGTTCTAGTTCAAGGAATAAAGCTTAGGCACTGACTTTATTTTATTTTTAATAGGAACTCACCTTTCCTTCACTGAAGTCAAGGTGGCAAATATAGCTCCTTCTCTTAATTCTCACAACAACCCTGTGAAGCTGGTCAGGGCAAAAGAATTTGAAAGCCCAAGATCACCCAGTGAGTGTAGTAAGAAACCTATGGTAAAAATCCTGTTCCACAAATTACACCTGCATAAGGATGATGACATCACCAGAACGGAGGATTACAAGTAACTAAAGAATTCCTTCTTCACTCCCAGGGCTTTCTCAATGTGTATGTAATCAGTCTCATTGCACATGAATTGGGGGAGACCCAGGATGGTAACAGGAACTCTTTAATTACCGACCATCTGCTGCCAATTAAAGAGTTGCATCAAAAGGGGGGTGGAAAAAAGTGGAACTGATTGCCCTTCTCCTCCACATTTAGGAAAGAGGGGACTGGCTATTGTTTTTAAAAAGATTACCAACAATATTATCCATAAATATTGATTGGCAATACAGTATAAAGCAAAAGTAGCTTAGTAATGTACATTTTAAATGACGTAAAGCACTGTTTTTCCCATTAGTGTTACACTTCACATATTAATGTAAAGGGGGCCAAGTATGGTGCTTCAGAGTACAGCTCTTTTACCTCCTCTCAATAGGCTATATCAGCAAGGGCTGATCTGTGTTGTGAGCCAAAACATTCAGGAGGGGGGCACCAAGTATGGTGCTTCAGAGTACAGCTCTTCTACTTCCTCTCAATAGTTATATCAGCAAGGGCTGGTCTGTGTTGTGAGCCAAAACATTCGGGGGGGGGGTGCACAGTTGTCTTCCACTGCACTCTTGTTCTTCTGGGTAAGTGATCCCATCATTCATCTTTTCCTACTCAGGAAAATGTATCCTGATAAGTAACCACATTGTTGCTGTGTTGCCTGAACTCATTAGTTTACCAGATGGCCAGCTGTTTCCCATACAGTGGTGCCTTGCAAGATAAATTTAATTTGTTCTACAGTTAAATGTTGTCTTGTGAAAAATTTGTCTTGCGAAATGTGTTTTCCCATAGGAATGCATTGAAATTTAATTAATGCATTCTTATGGGCAAAAAGATCAGAACAAAGTCAAATTTGGTTTACAAAGGGTTTATTAAGTGCTCTTTAAAGCCATACATATATTGCAGATGATTTTAAAAATTTCAATCAAAAAACATTAACTTTTTAAACATCATAGAAAAACATTTAAAAATCAGCAAACTTGAGGTAGGAACAACAACAACAAAAAAACGGAAAACATTCGTCTTGCGAAGCACGGCCATAGGAACATTTGTCTTGCGAGTCATCAACCCCCCATTGCCAAAACCATTTGTCTTGCGAGTCTCTTTTTTTGTTCTGCGAGGCATTTGTCTTGCGAGGTACCACTGTACTTTGTGAAAAAGTGAAAAGAAATCCAAACAAACCCATAACACATATGAAGTTGCATAAGTCATGTTGCCATCAGTTACCTCTCATTTCTCTATTAATTTTGTTTTGACCTAACTTTTCCAGCTTGAATTATACTTTTTAAAACATGAATTCCCTACAAAGTACAGAAGGTGTCGATTCTCCATGAGTTTATATAACAGGATGACTTTTCTTTAAAAAAACACAAAGTACAGAAGGTGTCGATTCTCCATGGGTTTATATAACAGGATGACTTTTCTTTTAAAAAAAAAATCCTCCACTGTTGTCCTGCTCCCCAGTACCTGGTGTCACTAAGCCTTACATTCTAGCATAATTCCAGTGAAGGCAATAAAAAGAGTTTTATGATCAAAATCAGCAATACACATTATACCACAAGGGAAAAACAGAGATATTAGAGGGTAGAGAGCCAACAATAGGTTTGGAGGAACATCAACGAAGACCCTTGCAATGTGTAGGAAGAACAAAATAAGAACATTTGATTTCAAAGCAGGTCCGGAACACAGGAATACTGAGCTGTGACAGGACAGGAGAAAAGATGAAAGATGGTTTAAAAGTACACAGCCTTCTTCCTGATTCCTTCACAGGGAATGCAGCCGTGCCAGCAAATCTCACTTGCCAAGAATGGGCATCACACCGACGTATGCAGCCCATCTCCTTTTAAAGCTGGAACAAAACGACTCCTCTGCATTGCTTTCAGCCATTAAGAAGTGCAGAAAACAAAAGCAATATTCCTTTCCTTTTTTATTATTTATTATTTTATTTTTTTTGCAGCTCTTGTTGAGAGCTCCAAATTAACCACTAGGGTTCTATTTATTTATATCACGAAGACAAGAGCAGATATAACAAAGACGGACCCAGGAGAACAATTCTTTCTTTAAACAGCTTAATAACATACAGGGTGGATAAAAATGGCAGATATAACAAAGACGGACCCAGGAGAATAATTCTTTCTTTAAACAGCTTATTAACATACAGGGTGGATAAAAAATGTTTTTAAGAATCAAATCGATTTAAATCATGATTTAAACAAACTTTCCTCCCAAGAAGAAGGCGTCTTTTAATTTCAGGGCTAAAAAATCCACCTTGTTAATATATTTAAAATCTACTTAGCCATTATACATGTACTCATCCTTCCTCCCACGATTTTCTGCATCATGATCCCTACTTCCCAAATCCCAAATATTCACAAAGTCCATGTGTGATTTATTTTTTTTTAAGGTTCACGCTCCACTCCCCACAACTGGGTATTTTTGTTTCTGGTATTAAGGCTCCCTCTTATTTAACTGAAACATCTTTGTGTATCCAAAGGTCTCATGGGGCATGGCTGATTCAGAAGGCCTGAGTTTGAGCTGCTGGTATTAGGAAAGCTAACATACCTGCTGTCCATTTTGTAAAATCTATACTATAACTATAGAGGAAATTTCAGAACAGGAAGCCATCGCTACTGCTGTGCCCAGCACTAATGTTTGCTCTTGTGGCCACTTTGCTATCACTGTAGTCTAAACGGTAAAAGGGAGGGAAGAAGCTGGATAGGGCTGGGCTGTAAATGTTCTCCTGGCCAAAAAAAAGTGGGCATGCATGTGCATGTACGATTATATATCCCATGCTACCCAACTCCTCCTTTCACTTCCTGCAGAGAACATGTACAACTTAGGGTAGTCCAGCCCACCAGAGAACATGCCCCTTGTATTTTGTTGTTGTTGTTTAGTCATTAATATTTATTAATTTAATAATTACTTTATTTTATTTATTTATTATACTTCTATCCCGCCCATCTAGTCTTTGACTACTCTGGGCAGCTCACAACAAGTGGAATAAAAAGAATTAAGTCATGTCCGACTCTTCGTGACCCCATGGACCAGAGCACCCCAGGCCCTCCTGTGTTCCACTGCCTCCTGGAGTTGGGTCAAATTTATGTTGGTAGTTTCGATGACACTGTCCATCAATCTCATCCACTGTCATCCCCTTCTCCTCTTGCCCTCACAATTTCCCAGCATCAGGGTCTTTTCCAGGGAGTCTTCTCTTCTCATGAGATGGCCAAAGTATTAGAGCCTCAGCTTCAGGATCTGTCCTTCCAGTGAGCACTCGTATTTATATATATATGTCACAGATGAAATTACCACCATTTTCTGTGGCTCTGGTACTGCCAGGGCCAAGGGTGGAAAAAGGAAGCAAATATGGAGACATCCATCACTCGCCATGGGCAATAAAATGAAAAATTAGTTAATACTTTTAGCATTATGTAATTCTTGTAAACAGCCTCAGGTGCTTATTTATATATAAACTAAAGAACATTTTCAGGATTAGGATTTACCCTGGTTTTAACTTTTCTCCAGTTCATCCTCATTGATGCTCTTTTTTTGGGACACATCTGGATGGAGGATGAAGTCAAGAGTCACAGTGTCTAAATGGTATGCTTTTGGAAAACAACGCCTCAAGGCCAAAGATTTAGCATGGCCGCTAGCCATTTTGGCTAATGAACTGGGCTCCAAAAAAAGAGACACTTCTCTAAGCTCTGGGAAGTGAATGACAAGGAACCCCAGATCACTTTCCTCTACAAGCCACACTTCACCATAAATGCCTCTTCAGGGAAATACGAAACAACCCACATATCATTGTTAGTAAGAGGACATGTTTCTTGAGGGGGAATTTTTAGCACCTGTACAAATCCTAGAGTTGCCTTAGATTTGAGTACTGGTCGCACCAGTCAGTGCAATGGATATTTATAGCACCTGGAAATAACTGGATTCAAGTTTCTGCAGGAGGATAGAGTCTATTTTCTAAGCAATGAGAGGAAATTATAAGATCATGTTGAATGGAAAAGGTTAATAAAAGGTCAATGGGAATGCATTGAGATATTTGCCCTGCAAACATCCTAGATCCATGTCCAAATTGTAAGCAAGGCACAATGGCAATCACAGTGTCAAGTGTGTGCTGTGCTGAAATTACACAACTGAAGAATGAAGCAAAATTTTTATCACAATTAGAAACAACATGATTATGGCCTCTCAAACCTATTTCTCCTGAGATTTGGGCTCATTTTTTCCCGTACTTCCATGCTGAAACTGCTTCATGATTAATGCAAGGCAGCCGCCTGTTCTAGTGCACGGACTTTGTCCATAAAATTCCTCTTAAATGGCATCATAAAGTCCTCAAAATCCACTTCATAAGTAAAACGTTGACGACGCAACTCCCTCTTTTTAAGGAGATCCTTTGTTGTCAATTCTGGGCTCCAAATCTAGAGAAAACAGGAGAACAATCCCTGGTTAGGAGCCTGTGTGAGCTGTTAATGGGCTCTATTTCCATGCATTTACTACAGAAGCAAAAATACTGATGTACAGCATCTGCTGCGCATGATGTGCATGCTGGGGGTGGGAGATCCTTTTCCTGATGGATGGAACAATGAGAATGGAACCATTCTGCCATGGAATCAGGCATGATTCTTTTGAGTGATTTGGCTTGCAGGCAACTAATTAACCATTCCTCGGTCTAGAAAGACTCTGGTAGCCTTCTTAAGTTCTTCATTTTGTAATCCAGCACCATGAATTTCACTCTCCAAATGGCCTCGTGATAGTAGAGTTGCAAAATGTTCTGACTGACAGAAACTGTGGAGGAAATGGCAATCACGTCTTTTATAGAGTGACATATTCTCATAAAGTTGCAGAAAAGGGGCTGGAGGTTATTAGGACTCAATGTTTTAAAGTGATATTTTTTGGGTAATGGGCATGCCAGCAGGTTCGTTTCAATAAAGGAAAGAAGCTCACATGCTTGGTAACACAGCTCTCCAAACAAAGCAGGAGCTTAAAGCAAAAAGAATGTTTGTATCTTCCGCAGACGTACTTACCCTCTGTGGTGTGAATGTGATGTTCAGTTTCCTTGTAGCTCCCCTGGTTATCAGTGAGTTCAGATGGACAACATTATCCCTGAGGGATTCTTTTTCCTCTTCAAAGAGAGACTTCTCCATGGCCGGTTCCAGTGGCTGCAGAACCTGAAAGAGGTAACATTGTCAGGTCCACAAAAAAGTTTGACAAATGTCTTGTGCAATTTGCCTGTACAAATCTTTCTTTTAAAAAATCTAAATGTCTAATTAAGTGTCAAAATCAAAAGACTGAAATATCGGAGCTACAGCAGCTGTCACCAGAAGTATGGGAGGGTCAGTCTCCTCACCACAATGTGAAGATGGCCTCCTTGCTTGATGACGGAGGGAAGGCGATCAAACATCTACTTCTGAATAGAAGCTCCCAGGCTTGATCTCCAAGTTTCTGCAGGAAGGGCTCAGACGACACCTTCTATCTAACAGCTAGGGGGGGGGGGGAGGGAGGGGTTGCCATCTCTCAGTGCAGACAACACTGACACCAACGGACCAATGATCTGACTTGGGATAAGATGTCTTCCTGTGTTTCTGTCCCTCAGTGCTTTTGGTATGCAATCTATTGATGTCCATGTCCTTCTTGGAAAAGCAGTCAGTGCCACAAAAACATAAAGCAAATTTGCATCTGTTTTATTGATTTGCATGAGTCATTTTATGAGCCCTTTCTATTGCTTTGGCACAGTGGTTAAACCGTTGTACCCATGAGTCATTTTATGAGCCCTTTCTATTGATTTGGCACAGTGGTTAAACCGTTGTACTGCAGCCAAAATTGTGCTCACAACCTGGGGTTCAATCCCAGGTAGCCAGCTCAAGGTTGACTCAGCCTTCTATCCTTCCGAGGTCGGTAAAATGAGTACCCAGCTTGCTGGGGGGGGGGGCAATGTGTAGCCTGTATAATTAACTTGTAAACCACCCAGAGAGGGCTTAAAGCGCTATGGGGAGGTATATAAGCAACACGCTTTGCTTTGCTTTTGCTTTGCTTGACTATGTCCTGGGAGAAAGATCTGGGGTTATATAAGCAACACACTTTGCTTTGCTTTACGATGTCCTGGGAGAAAGATCTGGGGTCATCACAAGGGAATGCAGGCAGTCCCATACTGAGCTCTTCAGCCTGAGATCCTTTAACCAGAATGCTTATGCAAAGCATGTGTTTGGTTGCTGAATGAGTGGTGGAGGTGCTGTTGCTGGACTGTTATATTCATTGGACCCAGCCAGTAGATACAGCCCATCAACATCTGGGAGGCCATACTCCCCTCTCTGACCTGTCCTTACTCTGTGTTCATAGGGAGAAATAAGCCTTCTCTGTTGTCCTCCCAGTGAAGAGGGAGGAGCATGGAGTAGTATTTAGAGTGCTGGCCTGGGACATGGGAGAAAACAGGTCAGATGAACCTAGCCTTCCCCAGTCCTTCTCTTTTAGACATGCTACGGGTCTTCTTCTTTCTCTTACACAAAATTATATCCCACTTGCCAGTCAAGACATTCAAGGCAATATTCGGCATTAAATGGATGGGGTCTTCTTCTTTCTCTTACACAAAATTAAGGATGTGTTCCACCCCTGTTCCACCCCATTATGTTGTCTATGGAGCGAATGTGATGAAAAATTTACAGAGCTGGACTAGGGATTGGGAGATCCGTGTTCCCATCTCCTATTGAGCCATGAAACTCAACGGCTATGGGTCAGTCACACAATCTCACTCTTTGGCTGACCTACCTCACAAGGTTGTTGTGAGACTGAAGTGGATGATGGAAGCCATGTATGACACCATTCTTCAGCAGACTTTTTTTGCCAGTTACTAGGGCAATAGCTAAAGATGGAATGGGTAGGTTTTGCCCAATGGATTACTCACGCTTATGAGACTGCACAGCATCATTACCCTACCTTATCTTTCACGGGCTCCTTTGCTTCAAGATCAGCAGACTTGATTTTAGGAGAAGCTGGCGGCAGCGTGGCTCCTGGGGCTTGGGTGGGCGCTTTAGGTTTGCCTCCTTTTTTCCCCTTCTGCTTATCAACCTTGGTTTCCGGGGGTTGAGGCAAACGGTCCAATGTGTCTTGAATGAAGTGAACCAACCGATTGTCAGCATATGCCTTTGCGATTTCCAGCGCATTTTGTCCTGTTTTCGCGAGATAAAACATGGATAAGCACGGCAAGGTCATTACAACAACCCAATGCCCACTCCTGCTTTACATTCTCCTCATCTTCTGACTTGACTGCTGCATCTTTCTTATCTTGGGCCTTCCACTGTCATGTTGTGGCCTTCCCATTTCTATCCGGAACATTGTCAGTGCTCTGGCTAGAGCTTAGAAAGCTACCGTACGCTGCATCTTTCTTATCTTGGGCCTTCCACTGTCATGCTGTGGCCTTCCCATTTCTATCCGGAACATTGTCAGTGCTCTGGCTAGAGCTTAGAAAGCTAAATTTCTCAGTGATGGCATCCTGAACTTCCTTGGGAATTGTGGCTGTAGTAATTCAGAATGGAACTTTTCCAAGCTCTGGAGGTGCCACAGGATAGTCATCTCCAAATCTGTGCACCGGCACTTCCCTACACTTCCAAATGAAGTGCAGATCTCCCAGATCGTACTGTCAGTCCTACCCCAGTGGACCTTGCTTCCATCTACACTTTCCAAGACCTCCTGGCACATGACTTTCACTCCTGCAGCCTTTCCTCCTCCCTTCAATGGCTTTTCTCATTCTCTCTTGCTGTTCTTTCTCCTTGGAATACTTTCCTAAAATGCCACCTTTTCCTCTTCTCTTCAAAATCTCCCTCAGAACGTAACCCTGACGTCTTTGCTTGCAATAT